AAATGACAATCTGCCTTCCGCATGAAAAATAAGAATCTTTCAGTTATTCAAGTGAACAAAGGAAACTGGCTGGATGCTTAATTACATCTGGCCTTTGTTGGCATTCAGTTATTTACATGGTCCAACAACTGCTGACTAATATCGGCCCTTTTCAGGGCCAATGACGTGTGAAATCCATTCGGACCTCCACGCCGTACACGTCGGTTAACACTAATGTAAATCTTTAACCCTTAACCTGTAACCCAGGGTCTACAAGACCCTGCCGCAAGTGCAAGAGCAAGTGATTTTTCCATAGGTTTTTCCATTTTCTTCAAATAAGAAATGTATAAAAAAATTATTTTTCCCGAAATATTTAATTGGGATTTGTAGTTGAGGGTTTTAAGAAGCTTCATGAATTTCTGCAGATTTTTCAAAGTATTTTTACCGTTTAAAAAAGGCACAGGATCTAAAAGACTATGGTTTACAGATTTAAGGTGCCGAAACAAAGGGCTACGGAGTAAGGGTTAATTTTCATAAAATGGTCCTTTATAACTAGTTTTCTTCATTGGGAGTTTGCTTTTATGATCTCACAAAATTCAGACCCATAAAATTTCCTCCTCTTTCTAATTCCTTGAAATGACCTTGAAGGTCATGATCATGGTCATTAAGTAATCCCCGCCGAACCTCACGACTTTGGTGTCGAACATTTTTGCAAGAGCATAGTTTTCAAGATGTTTGGATTTCATCTTGATATGATCTTGACATTGAGGTCATGGTCAAGGTCACTGTTGGATGCCCCCCTCGAAACTCTACAACTTTTGTCTAAAACTTTTTCTTCTAGGATGTGTAGTTTTCGAAATATTTGGGGTGGACAATTAAAATGGGACACCCTGTATATATGTGTAATGCTCTAATCTTCTCTAGTATTCAAAAAATGAAGAATTTTGGATTCGGGAATGACCATATGAATTGCTAAATCATCATTGTCGAATCCAAAATTCAGATTTTTCGGATACTGGAGAGATTAGAATATTACATACTTATATATCATACAGGTAACACAATACAAATCATATATATGTCTATATTACAATGCATAAGTTCATAAATTAATAAACGCGTCAACAAATACAAATAATATTTTATATTATTTATTGTTTTATATTATACAATAATTATTATACATTAATATAACATATATATAACATAGTATAAAATATATATCGATTTCTTTAAAGCTAATTTCTCTTTACATAAATTGCTCAGGTATATAATAAAAATATGAGAAAATATGAAAAAAATCTATACTTTAATAGGTGGACGCAAATGAGAGCACTTTATATCTCAAATAAAAAATAAAATGTATATACAGAGTAATGAAAACTGTAATTTATTTAGAAACAATTATACATGATCGTCTTTTATCGATCACATTTATCAGTACTTGTAACAATTGTGCTTTTTGCGCACCGTTAAGATTATATTAAACAGTGACAGAACATATTTGCAGAGGATATCATTGTCTTGGAAGCAATATATAAATGTAAAAACTAAATTTGAGGTATACTAATAATCATCAAAGTTATATATGTTAAAATAATGCATGTATACGTATTTTAAATTCATGCATTTATCTCAATAATAAAATAATAATTTTAACACTTCATTGCAAGATATGGATTTCTAATGCCAAATCAAATTGATGCTAAAATAATGTCCATATTTTTCTGAAAAATTAGCTTTGTATTCTAAAACTCAAATAAAATTTCTTTAAGTAATGTCATTGTTCATATAAATTAATATAACAAATTCACAAACGTTAAACTAAAATTTAGTGATATACTATTAATAATCAATTGTTAATGATAAACGACAATGTTTCAATACTATATGTAATATATTATTAATGAACAAAATAAAGGATAATTAAATTTTATCCACAAAATAATTTTCACACTTACTAGATCACATATCGATACATTATACTCTTAAGGACGGGTACGATTGCGATGAATTGATGAATTTGTCTATAGCTGGATTTTCCTTTATTGTTCCCATCATTTCATGATCAATGTATTCCATTGTGTTTTTGTATGCATTGGAGTACTTTTTATCTCAAACATAGTATGAAGTCAATAAACAAGCTACTGATTTGCAAACAGATGGCTGAAAAATTTTCATTCTAATCTCATCTGCAACAATATAGCAATACCTCCCTCCATTGTGAACAAAACTAGTCGAGGTGAATCGTCTTCTACAGTCATTAAATTTTGTGTAGAAGACATAGCCTGATAGAAAAAGGAAATTAAAATTATTATTTCCTGAAAAATGGAATTTCTATATTAATTAATAGATATGAAAATATCTCTTTCATAAGAAATAAAGGGGTATTTTTTTTAAATTTCTTGTTTGTCACAGGTTCATAGAGTGTAAGTACGGCCTGGGCTTTACCTAATTCATTCTGCTCAATGCCAAAATGCTGCATTAGGACTTCAATCGTAATATTTATTTTTGCAATGAAGGTTTCTGTAGCTCCTTCCTCCTTCCTTTTTTTTATATTAATGCAGAATTCAAACAGAACCTGTATAGAAAAAAAGGATTTTTAATAATAATAAGTGTTGTTGAAATCATTTATATTTATGTTCTATTTTTATTTCATCCTATTCTTTAACAACTTGAACAATTCATTTAAAAATCATTATTTGACTAATAGTTGCTGATTATTTAACCAATCTGAATATTTAACCAAAAATATTCGGCCAAATAATGTCGATATTCGGTGCATCTCTAATGCAGATTACAGATTGCCATAAAATAATATCTTACCTGTACATCAGTTTTATCTAATGCTAAATTGTTTGTTGCATCTGTCTGTTCCTGAATAATAAAAGGAATGTCGTTGATATCCATCTCCATAATATGTTCAGATTCTAAATTCTGTATACAATTCATTGTATTACTTGTAGTAACAACAGGAAGAAATGTTGAAAAAGTAGGATTAAGATCTATCAATAAGACTGTATCATTACTTTCAGTAGAAATTTCATCTTCTTCTTCAATGTCATAAAGCCTACTTTTTCCTGGAATAGCTTTTTGCAGTATAATTCCTTTTCCCCTCATCGTATTGTCGAGAATGTTGTCCGAGGCACAGGCTTTGGCCAAAGCTTGGTGTAAGCATTCTGCATCCGATAAATGATTTTCTTTTACAAATTTCACACGCTTGTATCGTTCACCAATTTTGCAATAAATCTTGCGTTCTATGATAGACTACACTAGAACAGTTACGGTACAAAGAATTTTTAAGCACGAAGGTCTTTTTTTTGTTCTTAATCCAATATGACTCCCGGTTCCCGCCAATTTCGGAGACAAACACGCATCCGCCAAGCGATCTCACGAATGATTTTCTTTTCTTCTTCGTCTTCGTCAGGTTATGACCACGCTTCCTTCTCTGGAATCGATATAACCAGAGTTAATAATAAAAGACACCGCAATGCATCGGCTATTTTGAATTGGGCGGATTAAATAAAATTAAATGATGCAATTGAAAATGGCAGTGCAATCCTCTAAACACTGCCCAGACGGGACGACGCTTCCACGCCGCACGAACGCGCGTCCATATTGCCGCAAAAGCATCACTGTGTGCGAGTCGAACGCTTGCTGAAATGAGATAGCGCTCGAGGAGATTTGAATATTATCTCATTTCAGCAAGTGTTCGATTCACTCGCACGCAGTGATCTTTCTATCAAAATAATGACTTTTTCCGAAGAAACATAAATTCTATTGCGAAATATAAATTCTATTTCTCCTCTTCTCAATTCTTAAGACCGATATTTACGATTACAGCCTAAATGCATATCATGTGGTTAACCTTGTATGTATGTACCTTCTATGTATGATTTATTAGAGATTAGTGAATTAATTCCCACACTCATTGTTAATCTTTTCAATTATGGATAAAAAATACATCGTTTTGTTAAACCACAACCGAACAGAATTTTATGGTTGAGAATATCACCGTATATTGTATTGCTTGTTTCATATAATTTTATTCAAAATAAAATGTATATTATAATCTATTTTTAATAGTAATATTTTAATATTTTCTTAAATTCTACTATTTATCCATCTTATAGGATAGTCAATGTCTATATCGCAGAATAAGTTCAAAAATAAACTTTTGTTAGTAACAACATTTATATTATATCGTTGATATTTTCGTCATATTTTTTTATTCATTTTTTTATATATATGCTGCGAGGCTTCATGTGTAATTCCTGTAAATGTGTAACTTTAATAATGTGTTGCTTTTTCCAAATGTGTTATTCTGTGATTCGTGCATTAATTATACACACATTATATGCATTCATTTTGCTGAGTTGCGATATTAACACGTATGAAGTGTGTTATCCATTGTAACACAGAATTTGTGTGTAGATTAATGCATTTCGTGTGTCATCTCAACACATTTGTAATCGCAGTTGTATTAATTTAACACATCAATACACCACATTAATGAATCGTGTGTTTTAACACACTTGATAACACGCCTGTTTTTATAGTATACCGATCGAATGTGAGGCGATTTTCATCGCACTGTGCGATTTCTTGTCACCCACCTTCATCGAAAAGAAGAAGAAAAATCTACGACTACGACACGTACGATTATCCATACTTGCCTTTTATACGAATCCGCTGGAAAATGATCTACGCGACACGTAGACGTAATGAATCATATCCTCGAGAAAAATACATGTTTCGAAATCGATACTCGGGGTTAATTATTTCAGATCAAGTAGCAAATAGCCTCGACGTAGTATCGTAGTATGCCTCTTCTAAGAATTTCGGATCGTCGGGATAGACTTGACGCGCTAAATGACGAATTTGAGCGTGATCACATGGATTTTTGAAAACGACGATGTAATTTGCGTTGAGCGATATATCGCGTTGACCACGCTCCTGATGGGATTCGATAAATTCAATAAGTCAAATACAAAATGAAACCTCAAATTTATTAGAAAAAAAACAGAATTTTTATGAATGCAAAATTGTTGAGGAGACTAACAATTCTGCGACGACTGTGGCATTAAATAACGATCCTCAATCTCCAAAAAAATAATGCAAAAGCTAAGATGATCAGACAACAACGAAAACTAAAAGAATTTTAATATTACTCCTAGATAGATTTAATGAAAAATTTGATATACGGAATACTAACGAACAATGGTTTAAAAATCTTAGTAATGCCAAAATTTCAGAAAAAGCCATAGTCGTATTACAATTAGGTCAACAGTTCAATTTATCTAAACGTGGTTAGTAAGGACAGAATTACAAGTGAGTTCATTAAACAGGTTGAACTTAATCTTTTTAGAGCTGACAATGAAATACATAAAAATGTTAGGAATGAAACAGTCCAAATTCTTAAATCGATTAAGAATTGTTGAATATTAAATCTGCTGAAAATACAATTTTATATGAAGGTGTAAGGGAGGTTAAGCGATTCATCTCAGAAAATCCGGATATTTTAATTACTAGAGCGGATAAAGGCAACCACTGTAATTATGAGTCGAGATAGTTACACGGAAAAAATGTATGAAATTCTCAATCAGACTACATACAATTTAATAAATAAAGATCCTATTAATAAAATAACTGTGAAAATTGGTAATTTACTAAAAAATTGGAAAAACAAGGAGTGATTTATACAAAAATTTATACAAAAAATTGTATGTGTCGGACGGCGAACTTCCGAGATCTTATGGACTGCCAAAAATTCATAAAGAAGGTCATCCTCTAAGATTAATTGTCAGTTGTATTAACAGTGCTTTTTATCCACTGGCGATCTTCTTAAAAGAAATCATTGACAATAATAATATAAAAAATTTTAATTATGTAAAAAACAGTTTAGATTTAGTAAATAAACTCAATGGTAAAGTAATCGATAACAATTTTAGTATTATATCATTTGACGTGGTCTCCATGTACACGAACATTCCGACTGAATTATAATAGTATCAAAAAGTATTGAACGTAGGTGGAATTTTATTGAGAATAAGACTTCAATTCCTTTACATGAGTTTATTAAAGCAATTATGATTATAATTAATTCCACATTTTTTAGATTTGATAAAAAAATATTTAAACAGATTTTTGGCATGCCAATGAGCTCTCCTTTGTCCCCTATATTGGCGAACATAGTTTTACAAGATTTAGAACAAGAAATTATTACCACGAATAATATTATTTCGTCTTTTTATTTTCGTTATGGATGACATTGTGTTAGCTGTACATAAAGAAAAGGTTGAAGGAGTTCTAGAATTAACTCATATCATGAAAGGCTTAAATTTACTGTTGACTTTGGCGATGAAAACGGCATAAATTTTCTAGATATTAAATTAATGAGACAAGAAGGAAATATCATCTTTGATATTTATAAAAAACCTACCAATTCTGGGAGATATTTAAACTATTCTTCGAATCATCCGTTAGCACATAAAAGGGGAGTAATTATTGGGCAATTTGATAGAATTTTACTTTTATCCCATCCTAAATTTCATGAAAAAAACATCTTTGAATTAATTCACACGCTTTTAAGTAATGATTATCCTTTAAAATTCATATTTTCAACAATAAAAAATAGAATAAAAACATTGGAAAATAGAACTAATTTAGATCAAAATCGCGAAGAAATTAATAATGAATGTGATTCTAAGAAAAAATTTTTCACGATACAATACTTAGGCAAAGTATCTGAAAAATTCAAAAAACTTTCACATGTTCATGGGTTTAATATAGCTTATAAACCTATAAATAAAATGATTACTTTTATAAAAACGGGAAAAGATTCTTTGCTTAAGGATGACCATTGTGGAGTAATCTATAAAAGCAATTGTTTAAACTGTGAATCGTCTTATGTTGGCCAAACTAAAAGGAAATTAAAAATTCGGATAAAAAAACATAAGGCTGACATAAAAAAAAACCTTCTTCCGAAATTTCAGTGGTTTCACGTCACCGTTTGAATGAGAGGCATAAATTGGATTGGGATAACCTAAGAATTTTAGATACAGAACAATCATTAATGAAAAGAAGAATTTCGGAAATGATACATATAAAAAGATAAACAAGAGGTATCAATAAGCAAAGTGACACGGAAGGTTTGCCTGATGTTTATCTTCCTCTTAAGAAAGATCTTCTCTCTTTTTTTTAATAAATAATTCTAGAACTTTCTAAACTGTTGACTCATATATATAAATAGTGGTAAAATACATGATATGACAAATAACAACACATAATGTCACGACAAAAATTCTAATTGTGCAAAAGAAGTACTTGAGATTCATCGTTTAGTTTTTTTTGCTGTAAAACAGGTAACGATTTTATTTCTTTATATTCCGACTAGAAGAGATTAATGATATACAAATTTATTTTAAAGAATCTGAAAATTCTTGTTCTACACTTTTCGTGATATGACAATTGGCGTTGTACAATAATATTTCGTATGAAGCATCTTCACATAGAAAAGAACACGTTTATTTGATTACAACACCCGACTGTTGAATTTAATGTCAACTAGATGTAACTTTGCGTTTTAAGAATATTGCTGAATTACTGAAGATGGCCAGATTGTGGCCGAAACGTTTAATGTTTTAATTAATGTAATAATAATTAAATATCACAAACTGTAACTTGTGCTATGGTTTTTTATGCTCTTCTTTTTATATGTTTTTAAAATTATAACCACGTTAGTTTTCAAGAAGTATTTTAAAAGAATTTGCATTATTTGACAAATCCCAAACCAAAATTACGGATTATTTTCTTAAAACTATAAAAATAGTTATTGAAGACCATCCTGATATACAAAATATTTTATTAATTGTTACTAATGTAGAAAATAGAAATAAATTTTCGAATACATAAGTTCATTCTTGTATTGTTTAAGAGATACGGCAATAAAGAACATCAAACAGAGACAAGAAACACGGAAACAAATTTACTGAACTTTAAAGTTTATAAATTAGAAAACAAAGAACATAAAAAGCCACAGCACAGGTTGTCGGTTGTGATAATCAAACTTTCAACAATAAAAAATTTTTTTAAGCATTTATCAATACAACATATCAATCAATAAATTAAACGTTTCGGCCACAATCTGGCCATCTTCAGTAATTAAAAATCTTCTTAAGGCGCAAATTTACATTTAGTTGAGTTAAATACAACAGTCGGTTGTTAAAATAAAATAAAAATGTTCTTATTTGTGTGAAGATGCATCGTACAATAATCTTACAACGTCAGTTTTCATATCCGGACAATGTAGAACAAGAATTTCCAGATTCTAATCAGAATAAAATTGTATATCGTTAATCTCTTATACTCGAAATATAAAGCATAGACACGTTACCTGTTTTACAGTCAAAAAACTAAGCGGTGGATCTCAAATAACACTTTTGGACACTTAAAATTTAGTCATGACATTGTGTGTTGTTACTAGTCATAACATGTATTTTACCACTATTTATATACCGAGTCAAAACTCTCGAAAGTTCCAGAACAATTATTGAAAGAAAAGGAGAACCTACCTAAGAAAAGGAAGATAAATATCAGGCAAACCT